CCCCCCCCCCCCCAAACAAAACAACAAAAAAAGGAAAAAATCATGGCTCCACCACTGGCTTTCAAAACGATGATATCACCTTATACCTAATTAAATGATCGGATAAATCACTTCTGTTATAAATATGCTAGACTAAGTTAACTAGCATAATCTATGTATAGTATCATAATTTATCACTGTCTTTCGCAAGCATCTAATATCCAGATACATGAAGAGTCAAAATACACACCAGGAATACAGAAAACAGATTATTTACGCGTGAAAATGGAAATGAATGATGGACCATCCAGACGATAATTAGCAGCATTAATGATGATACATACAGTATGGATTGTAAGTCAAAAATATCAAGGCTGTGCCCATATTCTTAATTATTTAACCGGCATTGTTATTTGTCTTCGTCTTCATAAATGTACGTAAATTTATGCTTAACTCAGTTAATAACATTAAATCCCAAGTTTACTTGCCTCCGATGAAGGAACAAAAAAAACAGATGGTGGCCGGCTGCGAGCAACCAAGAGCAATGAGTTGTAGGATTTCGTAATCCAACAGTACTAATGAATCAAAATAATGACCGGATTTTCAAGTTTCATTCCTATTTTGCCCCCAAAACACTAAACCCCAAAACAAAACCATGACACTATCCACCGAAGTATCAAGCAACGATTCTTTTCATAAACCGCAGAGAGCAAAGTACGCAACGATTCTATCATACAAACAAAGAAATCAACGTAGATAACAAATTCAGCCATCAGAAAAACCCTAGGCTCGAAATGCGGCAAACAAAAAAAAGAATCGGTTATACCGCATCCAGTCTCGCCGACGATGAGAGTGACGCGATTCGCCTGGATCTTGTCGACGATTTTCTGGCGCAGGGCCATTATGGGAAGGGGAGGGCGGGAGGGAGGGGCATTTTGGGAAGAGGAGGTGGAATCGTCGGAGCAGGCGTCGCCGTCGTCCATGGCCATCGTTGCTCGATAGGGGTAGAACGGGAAGAAGTTAGAGAGAGAAGAGTTTTGAGTTTGGTAGCGGCGTCGCGACCCTCTCTCCAGAAACGAGCACGGAGATGCTTGACGGTGTGAAGGTCTGTTTACTTGTGCTGCAAGGCTCCTGTAATTTTGAAAGGACGAGGAGGTATTGGGAATTAATTCTCACTCGCAGGTGAGCGTACCTGGTAGTGGAGAAATTTGGGGAAAGTTCAAAAGCTGTGCTCCGTACGTGTACAAATTTTATTAAAACAACCCCCTCGAGTAAGGGACTGTTTGGTTTGCTTATCCATTTCAAATCCATTTCTTGGCCTCACATCAAGTCCACCTAGGATATTTTGTTTCTATACTTGCTTCTTTCATGGATTTGGTTCATTTAAGAATGCTGGGAAATTTTATGCTTAGGGGGTGTTTGGTTCGTTTTCTTGATATAGGGAATTGCAATTCCATGTAAAGAAATATACGTTTTGAGTTTTCCAAACTTTTCCAAGAAATAGATTGTTTTGCTTTGGTTCGCACATAAAAATGGTAAGAAACCAATGTATTTATTTTTCTTGTATTTGGTTCGCATAGAAAAAAAAAAGAAAAACTTTTGTAAACAAAGCAAAGGAAAAAAAATCTGACATGGCAGAGTTTTCATCAATTTCACTCGGTTGGGGAAGGAAATCGGAGAGGGGAAAAAATCTGAGCTGGCGGCGATTCCAGCATAGTTTTCCCTCTTCCATCCGAGCGAACCAAACCGGCACAAAGAAATGGATGGAAACAAAAAAAACTGACGTGTAGGGCTAAAAATCTGACGTTGAGGGGTTTTCTAAGTTTTCCACCCCTTATAATAGCAAACCAAACAGCCCCTTAAAACACTTCCACCTCCGCTTTTTTCCTCTCTCCGGTCCATCCCCAACAGAGAGAAATTGAGCTGAAACACTAGTCGTCTCTGACAAGTTCTTTCTGGTTTCTCTCGTTGATTTTTTTGGGGAAGAAAGAAAACGTTAGGGTTACCTCCCTTGTCTCTCGTCCCCGCCAGAAATCTCCCACGGCCTTCTTCGTCGGCTTCTTCGTCACTGTTTTATTATTCGCCATCTTCGTCTTTCGACTTATTCGTCGGCTTCTTCGTCGCTGTTAATTGTTCGCTCGTGAGTTCCTAAACTTTAATATTTTTCTTCAAATTTTTAATTTTGTGGTTAGGATGAGGATGGATTTTGTTGGATTAGAAGAGGAAGAAGGGGCTATTACCTTGTTTCTCTTATTTTTTGTTAGGAAACAAATTGCATCTATTGGGATTGTTGTGATCTAAAATGTTAAAGTTGTACACTTCTACTAACTTGATACGGAGCTCAACTTGTTGTGAGTATTAAAACAGTGTAAATTTGCTTATCATATATTCCCGCAATGTTGATTATCATATATAATGTTGAGTCCTATATCAAGTTGAGTCCCGCAATGTTGCTTATCATATATTCCCACAACTATTTATCGTATACAGGATCAAGTTAGTGTAAAGTTGCTTACTCACA